CTTTCGATGATTGTCCGATGAGGCTAGTTTTGGTGTATATTGTTCATCTTCTCGAAATAACGTTTCTCACCGTTCGAATTTTCAAACAAACACCCTAAATTCATAAAATCTAATAAAGTCCCAAAACCTCTAAAAATAATATTTTTTTTAATTTCGTCGATTTTGAGCGGTTTTATGAAAAATCAATCCTCATAGTAGAAAGAGGATTAAAATTCAAATATTTTGATAACAAACTTGTCATGAAAGACGATCAGTGACAAGCAATGATTGGTAGTCGGTGATGGTCAGAAAAATGTAGTAATAAAAATAGAATTGTTTAAAAGTTTCATAACAAAATCAATACACACTTAAAGTTCAGTTTTTAAAATGATGTCGTTTTAGGAGTCAATAACCGCACAAAAAATAATGTTATTTTGTTCATGTCATCACGTTGTTTTAATTTTAATGGGCCTAGTGACATAAATAAAGTAAAAAAACAAAATTCAATATTAGTATTGAAAAAATTAAAAGTTTAATAGTATAAATAAATAAATGACACATCATCTAAAATACAGTGATAGCTGGTATAGTGTATCCATACCATTCTCCTTCAATACATCATATGAAACACGCTGCTTCCGGGCCCATGCTCCTTTAATAAATCCAACTCTATCATTAAGAAATGAAAAAGGCAGTGGTGATGAAAAAGCCACAAAACCTAATATTGTCTCCTAGTAATTGCTTCAGGTATCAATAGTCGACTATACACCTTTCCTTTCAACTTTAATTTATTTCTTGTGTGGCCCAATTTGATAGGTACAGTTCTCTAAGCCTGGACATGATTTTTTATTATTAAATTTATTATTGTCACAATTTGTATTCTTTTTGTTATTATTAATTATTCTAAATATTCATAGTTAATTATTATTGTGGGAATAATAAAAAAATAAGATTAGTATGAAGTTTGATAGATATTCATGAGATGAATATGTGAATGATATTCAAATCAAATTCATATGTATTGTTGAGAACAAATATTGGATTGACTCGTTTTGATATTAAGACATGAATCAATGTCATATTAATTTTCAACAATTATGTCATTAAATTATTAAACATGAAATTACTACAGTTCTAAACACGAGGATTATTATGTTTCGACATAGTCAAACATTGTCTTTAATCAGACAATTATAAAAGAACATGATATGAATCATGTAGTGAGATGTTAGTGTTAAGATGAAATTTATCCCTTTTGTCATAAGAGAGATAACTCAAGGCCCCTTTGATGATTGATTCTAAGAAATGCATGATCGTGCTCAATTGAGTTGATGAAGATCAATGTCATTAGTTTAGTCAATCCAATTGAACATCGAGAAACTGAAGATAGAACGGTATAAGATTAACATTTTTTCATGCCTTATATACTATAAAGTTATCGTGAGATAAAGAGATTATGATATGAACTATATTAAGGTTGTCACGGATCATGAAGCGTTTTCATTTAACTTGGGTAGTCATAATGTCTTGCTAGAGGTCGTTTAAGACTTGTAGGATCAAAATGTGATTTTATCTACTGCCAAAGTTAATTGAACTTATAAGGTCGCACATTAAGAATGAATAAGAATGCTTAATTATCTTTTTGGAAAAATAATTTAAGATATTGATATTATTTTAAATTATATTGTAAAGAATGATTTTAACCGAATTTAATTTAGAGAAGTTAAATAATAATAATAAATAATATATTATTAGGATTTTGTTGAATCTAAATTCTTTATTAGATAAGAAATCTATTTTAAATTGTTATTTATTTTTAAAGAGTTTTAAATAAATAATAATTAAATTATTATTTAATTTAAAAAGATTTTTAATTAATAAAAATTAAAATTAATTTTTTAAAAAAATCGACTTAACATAACCCTAATAATGTCATATATGCGTCTAATATATGCCTAGGTTTTAGTTTAATAACATTTTTTTCCCAACTGTCCAAAGCCAAACAAAAACAACAAAAAATATTGTTTTGAGAAACTGGAGGGGAGCTAACATTTTGATAACTGTTATTCATTCGTTCGCGTGTGGATACTTGTAGAGGATTGTCGTATTTTAAAATGACAATTAATATGATATACATGAAATCAAAATTTTATTAAAAAATATTTTTTTCTCATTATTCAGGAAAAAAAAACTCTTTTTTCATCTCTAGCCTTCTCCGTCGTGTTCTTCATTTCACACAATATGGTGGTTGTCCTTTGTGCCGAACGTCACATATCAGTATTGATTGTGGTTTATCAACGATAGAGAATCGAAAGATTGTACCTTTTTTAATATTTCTTTCACCATAAAAATGGATCTTGTAATGACTGAATTTTGAGTCAATATTTGAGCAATGACTTGAACCATGAATGAATCTATTAGTGAGTGTGATTATATTTCTTGAATAAAATATGGGATTGAGTGAGTGAGAATTGGGCTTAATGAATCATAAAAAGAGATTCTTTAAGTTAAGAATAAAAGGACTGCAGATGCAAGTTACCCATTATTGAAAAATATGCTGAAATCTCAATAATTTCCTCTTTTCCCTTTAATAAATAGGAAATTGCGACCATTATTTTCGGTATATTACCTCTCTTCATATCAATGATTGCGATTCTCTGTCCAATCCAAATATAAAGAATTCAAATGTTACCACCACCACCACCACCAATAATAATTTATATAAAAATTAAAAACCATTGCAATAACCAATTTTATCCGGGTTTTAACTCATTTCATTGTATTAATTGCACGTGGGGTCTTAAATGGGCATGGATAGAGTCTTTTAACTCACTTCTCTGCCATCGTCGCCGTTGTGACCGGTTCATGGAGAAAAGCTTAGCCTCCATAAAAATGGAGGCCATATCAGGGAAAAAAGGGGTTGTTTTTACAAAATAAAAGAGGGGGGAGAATCTAGCACCCTGTAAACCAATCGAAAGCAAAAAAGAGAGTGAAAAAAGAAAACACAAGAAATCGAAGGGAAGGGGATGTAATTCCGAGAGAGAAAAAATCAAACTGGAAACTCTCAACTCTGCAATTTTTTGGAATTTGAAATACAACATACCTTAAAGTTTTCAAGGTATTCTTTTTCTCTTTTACTTTGATTTTTGTAGATGGTACATAACCCATAGATTTCCAAAGCCTAATCAAAGATTTTGAAGCCAATATTTGATTTAAAAAAAGATTGGGGTTTTGAAAATAAGTTTTTAGATCTATGAGTTCTCTTAAGAGAAAACAAAGAATGGAATTGAGTTTGGGGTTTAAAAAGGATTCGAAAAAGGGTCATTTTCTTCGTTCTCTCCGCCGGAGACGGCGGCCGGTCCGACGGGTTCAATGGGAGATGGGTCTTTGCTCAAAAGTGGATGAACTTGAAGAACAGTTGAGAGATTTTTTTTAAGAAATGGGTTTTGATCCAATAATTTGAAAATAAAATATGAAGCTTTGTTTATTCTTTTTTATACGCCTTCCATTGTGGTTTGGGGTATTCATTACCGTGGTCCCTTGATTCTTCCCCGCAATTCATTTTGGTCCTTGACTCTTTTATAAACGTATTATTAAGGTCCTTGATTCAGTCACTGCTTTTAAACTATTTATGTTGATTATTGAGGTGGGGAAGCTGCATGTTAAATCCATTTACTTTTGTTTTATCGTGGTTGCTTTATATTGCCTTTGTTTGATGCAATTTTGTTCGTATTTAAATTTAAACTATTGACGTTTAAGCCTTTTACCTTTCACGTTTATTCGTTCAAGCCTTGCATGTTTTCCCTTTATTATTTAATCCTTAGTGTGTGTATTAGTTTAATCTAGAGCCTGTAATGCTATTGTTGTTGAATATCAAGTCTTTTATTAGTTTTAGGCTTTTGAATTCAAGTTATACTTTGGCTGCTTGGTTTATCTTAGTCACCCCGTCATCTGCTTATTCAATTTAGTTGCATAACATCATTTTTACCTAATATGCATGAGCCTCATAAGCATAACTCAATTCAAACTTCATAATCTGATTAAAAGTAATACCTTTTTTATTTTATATTATTACGAAGGATTGCCTCATGGTTAGAGGGTCTGATTCGATCATTTAGAATAAAATTGGTATCCTATTGAATGTCACCTAAAATTGACAATTCATAAAATTTACACAACTGAGGAGAAACTGAATGTTCTTGTATCTAAACTGATGTAGAAAAAGTCATTTATTTTACAAAGACTTTTTTCTCGCATTTTTAAATATTTGAACATTTTTTATCAACCCTAAAGAATTGATAATCTCTTAATTATTTTCGCTCAAATTTCTGAAGAGCGTGTACATTCTCATATCTATTTCTCTCAAGTACATTTGATAATAATTAAGATTAAAAATTACTAGGTAAGCTCTTATATTTTGATATTTCGATTTGACTAAGAAAAAGGTTGTTTCATATGTTAGAAACACAAAGACTTGTTTTCTTCAAAAATTGAAAATATATATTGTCATGCTTTCTTGGATTTAATAAATTAAGATTTGTTTGGTCACTAAAAATGTGATTTTCAATAAAATTAAATTTGAATATGTAAATTTCATTGGAAAGACAACAACTAAGTACCGATTTTAGGGAGCTGTGAGGTGCTAATCATTCCCTAAGCATAATCGATTCCCGAACTCAATTTTCTAACACGTAAAAAAACATTGTTTTGATGATTTTTAATATTAAATTTTACTAAAATGACAAAACCATTTTTGGTGCCCAATCACACCCTAATCAAATATTGATGGTGACTCCTCGAATTGTGATTCTTTAAAAAAAAATGAAAAACCCCAATTTAATCGAGACGACCCTTAAAATTCCCGATTGAGGGGAACGTTTTGACAACTATAATTATTTATATAATTACAATAATTCATATTATTCTTGAAAGAATTGAAGGGTTATAACTAAGGATTTCAATTATACCCAAATCAACGGGATTTATTAATTACAATATTCATTCAAACATAACACACTGTGTAATTACACCCAAATACACTTAAATTCAAATATCATATTATGTTCCATACACAATCATATTTATTTGATAAACAGAAGTGGACGCAGGGAAATTAAATAAAAACAACATGAACAACTTTTTTAATTAAGGGTAAACTTCAATGAGAGATCTTAAACCCAGTATAGGAGTAATTTTATAGTCGCTGAAACCCGCCGCAGAAAATAACTTAGACCATTCTTCTTCCCGCCTCTCTCTACCTGTATGCAGCACCATCATCAACATGTCGAAGAACAGCTGCGTTTCGATCGATTTCGAGGTTTCATCATTCGCTTTATCATTTTCCATCAATACCATGTCTATTATAATCACCTTCTTTTTTATCATCACTCCTTTGGCTTGATTTGAAATAGACTCTTTACATCGCTTCAAAATCTTCAAGCATTTATCATCATTCCAATCGTGTAATATCCACTATTTAATCAACTCGGAAGAATAAATCAAAAGCGTTAGTGTTAATTTAAAACAATTAGAAAAACGTTAAAAAGAGATAATTAATTAAAAATAGTAAAAACCTTCAGTAAACTGCATCTGCAACTGGAACATCATCAAACATATCGCCTCCAACATTTCAAGTTCCCGCTATCTTGTAGGCCAGCGACAACATGAGGAAGATCAAAAACAGTGCACTCCAAGTTTGGAAATGCATCAGCAATGGCCTTTCCCAGTGTTCCTGTGCCCCCTCCAACGTCCACCAACGAATTCAATCCCTCAAATGAGCCCTTACACTTGTCAATCAAAACGCTTGTAATCAATCGAGCATCACTAGCCATGGCTTCATTGAAAGAATTACCAAGCTTTGGGTCATGACCACCATATTCCCACAATGTCATCCCATGAGCTGTATAAAATGGGGTACAATCATTATTTGGAACCAGATGCCTAGAAAATCCCAAGGCTTTGTTAAAACAGGATCCAACATAGCTTTCAGAAAAGGTGTAACGCTTAAGGGATTATCCTTAAGCAAGAGACGAGAAGCACTGGTAAGAACATAACCATCTTCTTGGACTCCATCGCTAAGCTTTTGTTGTGCAAAGAAGCCCGAATTAACTAAAATACGCATGAGCTGGTAGATGTTGCATGACTTAGTAGGATCGAGCGTCGGTAGTGCAGCAACCAACTGGGTGACAGTCATGGGCTTGCCATGGTTTAGAATGATATCTGGGATACCTAAATCAACAGCGCATTTTAAGGACATTGAATTTATGAAGTTGAAAATGTGATTCCAAACATGAGCTTGAGCTTGAAGAAGCTCATTCACATTCTCTCCACTAACATTGACCTTATCCATCTTAGCTAAGGTCTCTCTGTTTTGCTATGAAATCAGCATACCTATGAAATATGTTATTTATAGACTGAAACAGATATATGGACGGGGACACGTCTTAAAATAATTTCTCCATGAATCATTTGGCGGAGTTAATTAATATTGTTGATGCTCCTTCAATAATATATATTCTTTTTTATTCAACAGCACATTTGTCAAGAACAAATTATGTCAGTAATATTACACGAATAATAGAGATGATCCGAATAATTGTATACGACATAAAGGTGATTAGAATGACTCATATAATAATTTTAATATTTAGGTGGGGCCAGTTCACAGCATTTCGATTGATAATATCGACATTCACCTACCATTTAAGTTGATAATATCGACACTAATAAAGAATTAACCACAAGATCTATTTTTAGATATAAATTTTTATTTTTATAAGTATATTTGACTAGTTGATTAAACTATTTATCTTTGTTATCTCGTATTTCATAAGATCATAGTTTATAGATCTATTAAGAGCACTCACTTCTTTACCCTAGAGTCTCTCATTCCCTTCCTCTCTATATAGGATTAGGATTAGAGTTAGAATTTATCAAAAATATATATTTTTCTTTATCTAATAAATCTAGAAAAAAAAATTCTTATATCATACAAGTTTTAGTCTTGTCTTGTACAAATATTTTAATTTTACTTTTACAAGTTTTTTTTTGCTTTTAAGGTTAAATTTATTATTTCTCTCCGGTTGATGGTGTTCAATTCTTTCCCGTATACAAACCCGGAAGAGGATTATTGTCTGTCTTACTAAGATAACCTTATTTCAAGCTAATTGTTTTAATTGAAAGTTCTTTCTCAGGGTATGATTAAGAAATGAAGAAGATAAGTAGCAATGAAAAGGCGTCTAACCCCACTTCTGTCTTCTATTGTTGATTTGGAAGAACGTGACGAAGATTTCAGTCAAAATTCATTAGATAATGTAGCGGAGATGAGATTCGTTTATTTTAAATATTAAAATAATAATTTATTAAAATAAGATGTCTGTTATAGTGTTGATATAAAAATGTAAAATTATTGGCATCTTTAAGAAGAGGTACAGTCCAAGTTGCATGCAGTCGAAATGTAAGTTTAATAGAGTAGTATTTCAAAAGACAATGAAAAAATATCTTTCTAAAGATGCTGTATAATTTACACGTATTCCAATCAAGATTACAATAAACAACTTATCTCATCAAATAATTTCAAAAATCTAAATTTCAAAAATCATTAAACCTAAATAATCATAACGTCTTAATTATGTAAATTAAAAAAATTCATCATATAAAAAAATCAACTTATACTAAAAAAATTATTGTTTCATTATAAAATTCCCTAGAAAAGCAATAATAACAATAATTTTTTTATAAAAATTTAAAATATAATTATTCATATAATCGTATCAATTTTTTATTTTTAAAAAGATTTAAGAATATGATTATTATTAAGTAATAATTACAGTCTTGTATAATTATAATAATTTTAATTATTTAAATATATTTAACTCATAAATATAACTACTATTAATTAAGATGTAATTATATTTTTAACTTAAAAATATTCTCTAAAACATTTAACTAAATATCATTTATCGACTTCCATCTCTTTATCTGGTAAAATCATGACATTAAAATTTTTATGATAGATGAGTCTAAAAATATATTATAAGATAAAATTAATTAATTATTGACATAGCTATATATATATATATATATATTTGTTTCAATAGCTATATAAATTTTAAGAAAAAATCATCTGTGTTATATATATAAAAATTAAGCATGTTATAAAAAGGAAAATGATGTTATAACTGTTGTTTATATTATAAAATTACTATAACATGCTAATTATTTAAATATAAAAAAATTATGTTAGGAAAATTTTCCTTTTACTAAAATATTATTGTTTTAGTATAAAATCCCCTACTAATAATAAAAAAATTAACAAAAATTGAGAACGTAATTACTCACATGTTTATATCAATTCCCATCTTTAGCTAAGAATTGAAAAGTATAGTTACTACCTTAATAATTACACAGAAAAATGTAATTACTAAAAAATATAATTTCTTAAATATGTTTAATTGTTTTGTACGTAAATAAAAGTAATTAGTTTTATTAAAAAATATATATATAAAATTACAATAAAGGTTTACAATCACACACATAAATAAAAACACATAATTAGAATATATTTCTATAATCATTGGCACAAAAAATTAGTCACATACGATCATACAAGAAAAATGTTAAACATTATCCATTTTTTAATAAAAGATAGATACAAACAGATCTGATTGTATCGAAAAATAAACCATAAAAGATAGAGACTATTTGTGTAACCCCCTAGACCCAACCTATGCGTTTCGACTAAGTCTAGTGGATTACACTAAAGATTGTTAAAAATATTTTCCGAAAACGTTATTCGATAATTTACAATCATATTACAAATGACATTTATAAAAGTATAATAATTAACAATAAAAATCCAACTCATAATTATAAAACAAAAAACAACCAGGTAAAATAAAATATGTAATAATTTCGGAGCACAGCAAATCAAATATTAGTGGCAAAAGCAGTAAACATCATAAAAAGATAAATACTTCAAAAATAAGGTACATGTCACTATAATTAAAAACAGTTCGGAAGATAGAAACATTACAACAAAAAGATTTGTACTAAATGTACCAATCCTCCGAGTGTTTGATACAGAGTGTCTATCCGAGAATATCTGAAAGGGGTAAAACAGTTTGAAAAGTCAGCTAGAGGCTTAGTGTGTCTCAACAGTGCAAAAATAAAAACATACATTTATGATTTTAAAATCAATGCAGATCAAAGTCATTAAAACATTAGAAGAGTTTTTAATTTAAAAACTCATAATCGTCCTCCAATCGAATGTCATATGCAGTTCCACATAACTGCACAACCTAAGGGAGTACCTTGGGGCCTGAGAGCCTACGCAACACAATTCTCGGGGCCATAGAGGCTTACCCAAGAAAAATATCGGGGCTGCAGAGCCTACCCGAGGGTCGTCTTAGGTCCATAAGGAATTATCAGTCGGTGCTGAACCTATCCAAGGAATTACCAACATCGACTGAATCTGCCAGAGTCTTCATACCAGATCCCAGAGTACCCCGAAGAAAACATTTTTTAGACGATAACCAGTAGTAGCAGTAAATCAGAGTTCAGACAGATCATCAATTCAGTAAAACAATAACCAATGATAATAAGTCAGACAAACATGCTTAAAATTTCAGTAAATCAGAAAATCAGGCTTCTAATCAGGTAAATTTTATAGTAGTTAAATCAGTTCAAACATTATATTTCAAATCAGAGATTTCAAACAGATATTAAAACATTTATATTGCACACAAGGAACACACCTCGCAAAATGGATCAGTATGGAAGATATATCGAGCACCAACTTCACTAGGCTCTTCGACTGAACGGGAAACCTAAGCCTTATCAGAATAGGGTCATATTCGGAATAATATTCTAAACAAAATAACTAACAGGATTACAAAACTATACGGGTAATCACGACCTCTCGAGGACGAGCGGATCGGGAGAAACCGAGTCGAGGAGTGAAACAGTCAGGAGATCCCCAAATACCTTTAACATACGATAACCATAATTAGTCTTTTACCCTTCGATTAAATTAACTGAATTAAAACAGTTAAATAAGTATGCATTTTTCAGGTTTACGAGTCAATTTGGAGGCTTTCGTGTTTGAATTTGGCAAAACGGACTTCGGATTTGGACTCAGGACGTTGAAAAACATAAAATATGTCTTTTCAAAATATTTCACTTTTGGGGTCAAAGTCAACTCTGGTCAAAGTCAACCGATCAGGTCAACAGTTTGGCTCAGGTCATGTCAACAATTTGGGTCAGGTTGGGCTGATTCTAGCCGATCCAGATCGGTTTGACCAATTTCTAGAAGAAACCAGAGTAGAGACAAGCCCCACGAGCACGCGGCGACGCGTGGGACGGCGACAGGGTTAGAGGTAACGACCAACTACTCCAAACACATCAAAATCCAAAATGTATTCCCACAATTTCCAATTTCAGCCCAAAACAAATTAAAATCACTCAAACAAACGTATGAAATCTTACCCAACCGGCGATCGACGACGCAACAACAATGAGAGTCGGTTTTGGCCGGGTTCTGGTCGGATATGCCTGGGAAGTGCTATGGTGGCCGACATGAGACTAGTCGGTGAGTGAAACGGCCGAATCGAAGCAAAAACGAGATGTCAGTTAGGTGCTTCGACATTGGCTTCTTCGTGAGAAATGGTGTAGGTTTATAAATAGGGTTGGTCGGGGTTGGATCGATAGTCGATGCTGAGACCGAAGGACACGATGGTTCACCTCATTTTCTATCGTCGGAGGCTGGCTGAAGGGTATCAGGGTTGAGTTTAGGAAAGAAATGGTTTGGATTCACTGCAGGGCGTTCAATTCTGGTATAATAACTTATTAAATATTATAACATATATTGGTTAAAAATAGACACAAACAGTGCCCTATCCTAGTGGCTAGGGCATGAGTGCCCATCCTGAGTGGCAGGGGTTCAAATCCCCTCAGCCACCAACTCATTCTATTTTTTTTCATTTTTTAAGCTGATCAGAAAAAAAGATTAATTTCCCTGAATTTCCAAAACTTTTGAATTGAGAGGTTTTTAAAAATTTGCAGTTTCGTCCGGAAAAACAAACAAATAAATTTTAGATAAAATTTTGGGGTATGACAATTCTCCTCCCCTTAAAGAATTTCGTCCTCAAATTCACCAGAGTCGAAAAGAAAGCGAAACTAGGTCTCTGAAGGCTCTTATATAGGACAAGGCTAATTACTCTATTGACAATAACGGAGAATCTCGCTAGCCTCGGAGTGAAAACTGGGTCTCGATGCCTTAATCAAAAGTCTGTGAATCTTAGGATATGAAATTCGGGTATAGAAAGGGTGTTGTTAGAAATGCATGTCATGAAACAAAAATAACAATAATTATACATGCAGAAGTCCCGGGCTCAACTCGATCACCGGAACGTCGGATAGCGTAAATAAGAGCAGGCTATCAAGCCTCAGAAGCATTTGGTCCTCTACTCTGCGATCGGGCTCTATTGTCGACCGTAGAAACATATCCGGAAGTTCTACCCTGACTATGACTCCTAACTGGAGTCTGAACTGAGGCCTGAGAACACATAGGAGTATGAGCGGGTGTCTGATCGACAGAAGATGGATATGGACAATTCCTCAGGAAGTTCTTACTGGATCCACAACGAAAACAATTACCCATCTTCTTACGACACTCTCCCTCGTGTCGATTTCCACATAACTCACAACTCGATTTCGGAGTGGAATATGCAGAATCACCTCGACTAGCTACAGTAGGTGGAGGAGACGTAGGCCTCAAACCAGAATGACTCATTTGATGAGCAGCAGTACGAGTTCTTTTATCAGAGCGTGCTGAAGGTGCAGACTGACCAGAAGGCCTCCTAGATCGATCTCGATCTACCCTATCAGGTGCAGAAGCCTCGACTTCCTCCGTGTCTTTTGGTCTCCCGAGTACAATATCGAATACCTCGTCTTGATGAGTAACTACCTAATGACGCAACTCATATCAAAGTCTCTGAGAAAACTTCTGACACCTATCTCTCTCGGTATGTACTAGACTGAATTCATACTTCAACAATTTCAAGAACTTGATCTCGTACTCAAAAACGGTCATATCTCCCTGAACCGGGTCCTAAAACTGATGTCGTCTCTAAGCTAGATAACGCTCTCCCAGAAAATGACTCCTAAAACGCTCCCTGAAGAAATCCCAAGTCAAACGATCGACCGAAACACTGCTGACCATAGACTCCCACCAGGTGTGGACATTCTCGTTCAACAAAGAAATTACTCGTAAATAACGTCGCCGAGGATCTAAACCTAAATGATTCATGCGTCACTCGGTATCACTAAGCCAATCATCTGCCTCAGTCGGGGCTCCACCCGTAAGGCCACTAAACGTCCTAATTCCATTAGCAATAAGAGTCTGAGAAATGGGGACCTCGGGTACAATGCTTGCAACTCTTACCGCTCCCTGAATCAATTGGAGAAACTGACGTCCGATATTCTCATCTAATACGACTCTAGTAGACTCAGACTCAGTAACGGTCGCTCCTCTAATCAGATTAGTCAAGCCAATACCAGAGGCAGGAGGCAGATCCGTCGGGGTCACAGAAGCAACATGAAGGTACAAGGTAGAAAGAATGGTGTGAAGATATGATTGTTCCAATCAAATCTTCAAGTGAGAGATTGTTGAAAATTCGGTGCAAATAATTGTTGAAAATTGGCGCAAATCACATGCACCGAAAGCACCGAAATTTTGAGGCTACAATTGTCAAAATTCGGTGCAGCAATGGTTGAAAATTCAATGAGAAAATTGCTCTTTTAGTCACTGGACTTTAGGATATTTACAAGATTAGTCCTTAAGCTTCAACTATAAATACCCTAACTCATTTAGCTTAAAAACCATCCCAAATCATTCTAGTTTTCTCCCAATACTAGAGAATTTAGAGAGTTTTCTTGAGAGTTGTTTTCTCATTTTTATCAAGAGAGATTTGTTATTGTTTTCTCCTTGTTAGATCGAGAGAAGTTGTAATTCTTATTTTCTCATAGTGAAATTCTTCTACCTTTGCTCGTGGTTTTTACCCTATATTATTTAGGGGGGTTTCCACGTAAAATTTGTGTCTTATTTATCTTTATTTTTATTTTCTCAAATTATCAGTTACGATTTTGCTCTATCCGATAGCCGTATTCCGCAACACATATTAAAGTTATATTAAAAAAAGCGAAACCATTTTTTTGTTATAAAAACTTATATTAAAATTAAAACTTTTAATAACTTTTAGGTGTTAACCCACGTTATAGTCTACATGTACTTCATATTGATATGATATTATATCTTACATGTCACCTCAATAAATAACTTAATTTACTTCGTATTGATATGATATTATATCTTACAAGCCACCTCAATAAATAACTTTAAATAATATAATATTTTAAAAGATAGTTTAAAAATTAAAATATACCTAAATTTTGTTTTTTTTTCTTTAGGATAATACATAATATTTAGTTTAGGTTTTATTTTCATATCGTTGTTAAAAACTTAGCGAAATTATTGTATGTGCCATTTTTATAAAATAAATTACATCATTCATCACTCAATTATCTTTTCATTTTTATTTTGTTACAAATTACTTCTATTTTAATTATTTTAACTTATTTTATTAATATATGAGGGATGTGTGATTTTGGATTTGGGTATAGTTCTAAATTTATTATTTTATTTAATTATATATTAATAAAATAATTAAAAATGTTACGTCACAAAAAAATCAATAAAATAAATTAGAATGATTAAAACATAAATAATTTGAAAGTTAAATAATTAAATTGAATAGAAAGAGATCAACATCAAGGATGATTAGTTGAAGTAATGCAACTTGATTGCTCAAATCCACTTATGCTCTGTATACAAGAATGACCATGCTCTGTAAATAATCTAGAAGCTATACATTTTGAATGAAATAAACAAAAAGGTGGAAAAACAATCAAAGAAATTGAAGTGCTCTTATATTTGGTTAAGACAGAAGAAGGTGGGGGAGGATATGTAGGCTTTGATCATTATGGGGACTAAGATGATGAAACAAAGGTTCCGATGTAACCGAAACCGGCGATGAAGAAAGCAATAGACTGGAGGAAGAGGAACATGAAATAGCGATTCTTTCCAAAAGCCATGTCATAGCAGCCACAGAAGAAGAGGTATGCCCCAACACCAAGCTCAAGCAAATGAAGCCTGCTTATTTATAAAACAAGCAAGCACAAAAGATTGATTATGCATATATGTTCATCTTCTCAGATTGTAAATGTTGACCGATTGAGAGTCATTACCTTTCTCCGATTCGGATTCGGGGTTTCTTGGTAGCTTTTGCACCAACTTTAGTCTTGAGAGCATCTCCCAATTTTTCGGTAACAACCCATTCATTTACTCTTCCGGCCTCCAGCAGACCGATAAACGTTGCCTTGGTCCGATGTAAAGACATCACATTCTCAAAGAGAATCCAGAACATCACCAGATGCAATGACCTGCAACATTTCAGTAATCAATCAAGCTGATCACTTGGAGGATTCTACTCCAATTTATGCTAGAATATGCATCGATATCGAGTCCGAGCGACATAGAAAGATCGAGGGAAGTACCTCGGGGTTCCAACAGCGTTGAGGAGAGTGATGATAGAAGGAATGTAGACAGCACCCCACTTAGGAACATGGACTTCAGGAACGAAAAGTTGAGGGTAAAACGAAACAGTAGAAAACAATGTGACAATGTGAGCTACTATCTTTCGGACGAAGAAGAAACTGTAGATCACATAAAGCTTCTTCCATAGAGTAACTTTCTGCAATTAAAGAAAACAGGTTAATGGATTGTAATCTTGATTTCATGTATTCATTATAATCTTGGGATGGTTACCTTATTTCTTATGATTTCGATTGCCATTTTTTTGAAGAGATTAGCAGGGCCACATGACCATCTATGCTGTTGATACCTATAAGCTTTGAATGTACTTGGCAACTCATTTTTCACCTACCATAAATCAACAAGATGGAATCAGTTCCCCATTCATAGGAATACTTTCACAGAGATTGATGAAGATAATGATAAACCTTGAGTTCGCCGACGTAAACAAATTTCCAGCCTTTAAGACTAGCTCGGACGGCCAAATCCATGTCCTCCACGGTCGTTCTGTCTTTCCATCCACCAGCTTCGTTGAGTGCTGAAATTCTCCATACACCAGCCGTCCCTGAAACATATAATCTAGCTTCTTATAAACATGTAAAGGACTTGAAAACCATTGATGCACTTGTGGAGTTTGTTTACCATTGAAACCGAAGAAAGCATAGGCTGAAGACCCCACTTCCTGTTCAACTTTGAAATGATAATCCAATGACATCTCTTGCATCCTTGTCATTAAGCATTCATTTGCGTTGACTGCAACATAACAGTAATATTCATCAATGGGAATCCAGCAAAGTCGTCCATGGTTAATGTGTCAACATCATGTGTCATCTTTAGTCCAAGTAATTGACAAATTTTCCTTTGAAATTTCTTTAATTAGATGAAAATAGTTAGCCCCGCCAACCTCTGTACACCTGGCAACATTCTTTATTTTGGCCAGTGATATCATCAAACCTTAATTTAAAAAGAAAAAGAAAAAACATGGTATATGGCAAGACAGAGCAAAGACCACCGACACACAAAAAAAAAGTTTCCAGCAATAAAGAAAAAAAAGTTACCAAATTTCCAACGTGCTTGAACCAGTGCAATTTCAGGGTTGTTCACAATAAAAGGGATGGTGCGCCATAGGAAGTCCGGTTCAGGCTGGAAATCAGCATCGAAAATGGCAACATAATCACAGTGTTTGACGTAGATGTGTTTCATTCCTTCTTTCAAAGCACCTGCTTTGTATCCATTCCTGTTGTCCCTTATCTCGTACCTTATGTTTACCCCTTTGCTTCCCCATCTTTGGCATTCTTGTTCCACCATGCTCTATCATCACAATACAACATCACAACTCGTGTAATACATTCTGAATTTCTGTAAAGTTACTTGAAAATATACCTTAATTGTATGATCTGTTGAATCATCGAGAACTTGAATTATGATCCGATCAGATGGCCATGAAAGTCCACATGCAGCTCCAATCGAAAGTTGATAAACCTGAGTATATACCACAAGTGTCTCAGATTATCATTTTCCATTAGTGTCTGAAAGATAAAAAGAAAAGGTATCCAAAGGAAGCAAAGAACGAACCTCTTTTTCATTGTACATTGGGATTTGTATTAGAACCATAGGATAAGCAGAACTACCGAGCTCGACATCATCCTTCATCGGCTCCCATTTGTACCTTTTCTCAGGTTTTCTCCCAAACAACTTGAGGAAGACTATGGCAATCCCCATATACACTCTTTCAATGAAAAGCATTATCGACATTGCCAGACACAAAACAACCATAACTTTCAGAAAGGCAACAATCAGTGGCGCCTTCATTTGCTGCCAAACCAACCCGATTTGGCCCGCGACATCGTCTCGACTCCCCTGAAATGTACCCGGAATAACGTTCGTCGACGTTGCCGATATCTGCTCCATCAGGAATGCTCAGTAGGAGCCTGCTTGAGGAAGTACTATATATATATATATATGAGAAAATCGCCTCAGTGACCAAAAAAAAGTTATAATATACGATTTTAACCAACTTTTTTTGGATTTGCCAAAATGACCAACAAAATCGCAACGCGAAATAAAAATCGCAACGCGATCCCCAGAATCGCAAATCAGTTTCCAGAATCGCAACGCGATTCTTGAAAATCGCGATGCGATAGTACAAATTCGCATTGCGATTTTCCATAATCGCAACGCGAATATGAAAATCGCAACGCGAACACATAAATCGCAACGCGTATCCGTAAATCGCAACGTGTATCCGTAAATCGCAACGCGTATGGGTAAATCGCAATGCGTATCCGTATATCGCAACGCGTATCCGTAAATCGCAACGCGTATCCGTAAACCGCAACGTGTATCCGTAAATCGCAACGCGTATCCGTAAATCGCAATGCGTATCCGTAAATCGCAACGCGTATCCGTAAATCGCAACGATAATCCGTAAATCGCAACGCGTATCCGTAAATCGCAACGATAATCCGTAAATCGCAACGAGAATCTGTAAATCGCAACGATAATCCGTAAATCGCAACGAGAATCTGTAAATCACAACACTGAAATTTTGGGTATATAACACTGAAATCATAAACTAAATCCCTAAATCGCAACTCATTCCATCTCCATCTATCACTCTCTCCGGCGACATCCGTTCCTATATCCAACGACATCCTTCCCCATCCGGCAACAGGTCTTAGTTTCGCATCTCGTTTGTTTAGTTACAACCATGAAATCATCTAATGTTGATCATGTTTGGATAGATTTGTGTTTTGGAGGGTCATGGGATAATGTTAATGGTGTTTTACAATATATGCCTTTACCCATAAATCTTCAACTAAAATTGTCTTTACAAAAGTTAACTTATGAAACTCTAATGCTACGTGTTTCAAATAAATTGAATTTAGAGCCCCTAAGTGGATTTAGGCTATCTTATCAGAGAAATGGTAAAGTTTATTTGTTAACCGACAATGAAGATGTTGAACGATTCATTGCTTACATTAGTGTTTCACAAGATGATGTTACATTGTATGTTGTTGAACCTAGAAGTAGTATTGTTGGGTCAGTAGCGGGTAGTAATCAACTAAGTTTTTCTCAAAACCCACAACCTTTCTCTAATCCAAATCCCAATCAACTTTCAGCACCAAATTCCGATTTTCGTATTGACCAGTTAGACGATGATGAGCCAACAGAAAAAATTGTGAGTACTAGTCAGTATTCGAAATTTGGTCTTGGTCAATATCCGGACTTTGATATTGGTCAATACACGGATTTTGATGATGTTTCAGAAGAAAACAGACCATGCGTGTAATGATATTGATATTGGTCAATACCCGAATTTTGATGATGAAACAGCCGTTGCCGAAGAATGTAATGTTGATGATAAGAGGAGGAAGTTACGACTGTGAATGAACATGTTGAACATCCATTCTGTAATTCATATAATCCTGAAGAAGAAAAAGAAGAAGAAAAAGTCCCCGAAGAAAAGAAAATGCCACGGGCGTATAACTGGAATATGCCAGAATTACTTCAGATACCGGAAGAAGAGTTGATAAAGAAAGCAGTTGATTGTTACACAAAAGTTATTCGTATCAAGAAAGATGATTGTTTTGATACAAAGGAAGACTTGAAGATAGCTTTATATACGAAATGTGTGGAAGATGGCTATCAACTAAAAGTTAACAATCAAGCAAAGATCGTTTCGAAACAAGGTGTATGATTGACAAAAACTGTACGTGGCGTATGATTGCAAAGAGAATAAAAGATTGCAAAATGTTTCAAGTTAGGACTTTTATTGATAAACATACATGTTCAAGAACCCAAGTTTTTCCTCACCATAGACAGGCAAACAAAAAGGTGTTGGGTGGTTTCTGGCTGAGTTAATGTTTTTGAATGGCAGGGTATATCGGGACATGAAATTATGACTGACATGAATGCTCGGTTCAAGATTAGTATATCATATTCTCAAGCTTGGAGAGCCAAATGTTATGCCTTGGAATTGTTGAGGGGGTCGCCAGAAGCATCGTTTGCCCAACTGCCGGCTTATTGTCACAATTTAAAGCTGAAAATCCTGGGTCGGTAACTCATATCAAAACAGATAGAGATGGACGCTTTGAGTTGCTGTTTATCGCCATTGGTGCTACGGTTAGTAAATCAATATAATTTTGTTGACTCATTTTTGTTAGTTACATGCATTTCACATTTAAATGATTATATTTCTTGTGTATATTATTTTGTAGATTCGTTCGTTTATTACTTGCATGCGCCCAGTTATTATAGTTGACGGAGCACATTTGAAAGGTCGATACCTTGGAGTAAACTTATTAGCAGTAGCCATGGATGCTAACAATGGGATATTGCCAATAGCTTACGGGGTTGGCAAATCTGAAACCTCTGATTCATGGACATGGTTTATGGGCATCTTAGGGATTGCATAGGTCCTATTAGCAATCTGACAATCATATCCGATAGGGCAAACTCAATTGACAACGCTGTTAGAAGGTGTTTCCCAGATGCTTTTCATGGACTTTGTGGTGTTCATTTGTATAGAAATCTAAATCAAGGTCTGCTGGTATAAAAAAGCACAAATGGACATACTGGAAGGCTGTAAAAGCTTATCGGGAAGTGGATTTCATAAGCATATAAATTGTTTAAGACGTGTTTTGCCTCAGTGTGCTCAAACACTAGAAGATGTCGGGTTTGAAAGATGGTCAAGAGTACATCAACTTGGAGCAAGATATGGTTTCATGACGTCTAATAGTGCAGAATCAATCAACGCTCTAAGTCGTCATTCCCGGAAATTACCCATTACTATGTTAATGGAGTTTTTTCGAGCCTCTATTCAACAGTGGTACTACAAGAAAAGAAACCATGCAGTATTATTTCTTTGAATTCGTAACTTATCATATTTATATATTTTACTAAGTATTGTTTATTAAATTTACAGGAACATTGGAACATCGTGTTACACCATGGACTGAAAAAAGATAACGAAACGTGTTGTGAAGTCAACGTCATGGAGAGTTGAACCATGTTCAAACACTTTGTTTCAAGTACTGGATAATAACTTAAATGGCTAGTCGATCTAAATGCAAAGACGTGTAGTTGTATGAAATGGCAAACATCTGGTTATCCGTGTGGCCATGTTATAAAAGTTGCTCTTCATTTAAACCAAGATGATTCAAGCGCATACGCTATGGATTGCTACACTACAGAAGTTTATCGACAGACTTATGCCGAGATTGTCTACCCTATTCCACATCCTTCTGAGTGGGACATACCAGATGACTTACAAACAGTTTTGCCACCAGCCATGGACAGAAGGCTACCTGGCCGACCAAAAAGTCACGATCGTATACCGTCTAAGGGTGAAGAGAAGAAGAGATCGACATGTAGTCGGTGCAAGGAAAGTGGTCATACAAGGTTGACATGTGGATCACCAGTGCCATCAAAATCATCTTTTCCTCTACCAAAATATGGATCCTCATCAAAATCCAAAGCTCATATGGTGTGAACTTTGTATTATGTAAACGTTGTTATTCAGTTGTATTATGTAAACGTTTTAACATTTAACATTTTATGTGTATTATGTAAACGTTGCCATCAAAAGCTCATATGCAAACGTTGTATTATGTGGATTTTATGTGTGAACTTTTAACATTTTCAGTTGAATTAATGACTCAGGCCAACCATTTTGACTTAACCACTCTTGTTATTCAGTTGTTATCACTATTAGGCATGCATTTGACTATCGCAACACGGAAATACAATCGCAACGCGAAATGAAAATCCCAACATGAAAATCGCAATGCGGAAATGAAAATCGCAACGAGAGAATCGCAATGCGAAATGAAAATCGCAATGCGAAATGAAAATCGCAACGAGAGAATCGCAATGCGAAATGAAAATCGCAATGCGAAATGAAAATCGAACCGACATAATCGCAATGCGAAATTAAAATCGCAATACGAAATGAAATCGCAATGCGAAATGAAAATCGCAATGCGAAATGAAAATCGCAACGAAAGAATCGCAATGCGAAATGAAAATCGCAACGAGATAATCGCAATGCGAAATTATAAACGCATTGCGATTTTCATTTCCGCATTGCGATTTTCATTTCGCATTGCGATTCTCGTTGCGATTTTCATTTCGCATTGCGATTTCATTTCGCATTGCGATAGTCATTTTTGCCTTCAACATAATGCAGATTGAAATCAACAAAATCACCATTACATTTCAATCAATTAAACAAGCACAAATAAGAATTATGTTCGCATCAATTACACAAATCAACTTTTACAAATCATCTTTTACAAATCAATTAAACAATCAAAAAATAAGCAATAATTCTTATTTCCGATCATCTACTATTGAATCAACTTTTACAAATCAATTAAACAATCAAAAAACAATCAATTAAACTATTGAATCAACTTTTGCAGCTCGACATCATTTTCACGCAGTTCACTTCTGAGATTAACCTGCAGAAACCAAACATTTGTTCAAACAACACTTTCTACGCAAATTATTGAATTCTAGTTACTTAACCAAACATTTTCATTTATAAGTATATAAACTTACCAATTGTTTGGACATTTTTATAACGCGGATGCAGGTAGGCAGCGTCTCGTATATATCGATTTAGCCATATAATGCCGAAACCACAAGCCTACTGCAGCTTTATCTCTATCGGTGGGAGGTAGATACTTGATGCTTCCCGTCGTCAAACGCTCCAACGCCAAGCATACGAGAGGACCACAATCTCCTCTGGCTCCGCTCGTTTGTTGTGGCGCGGTCTCGTCTCTAATAACTGTAATATTGAGCTTCTTTGGCTTCTTGTTTCCAGAACGAGTCCAATAATTGATCGCATCCAAGAATTTAGCCAAATGAGAGCTCCATCCCTTAATAACATCTCTTAAATCAGCCAA